GAGCTACAGGCCCTCAGCCAGGTGGAGCTACAGGCCCTCAGCCATTCAGAGCTACAGGCCCTCAGCCAGGTGGAGCTGTAGTCTCTCAGCTAGGTGAAGATACAGGCACCCAGTTAGGTGGAGCTACAATGTCTCAGCCAGGTGGATCTGCAGTCTCTCAGCCATTCAGAGCTACAGGCCCTCAGCCATTCAGAGCTACAGGCCCTCAGCCATTCAGAGCTACAGGCCCTCAGCCAGGAGGAGCTGCAGTCTCTCAGTCATTCAGAGCTTCAGGCCCTCAGCCAGGTGGAGCTACAGGCCCTCAGCCAGGTGAAGCTACAGGCCCTCAGCCAGGTGGAGCTGTAGTCTCTCAGCCATTCAGAGCTACAGTCTCTCTGCCAGGTGAAGATACACACCCTCAGCCAGGTGGATCCGCAGTCTCTCTGCCAGGTGAGGCTACTGGCACCCAGCTAGGAGGAGCTACAGTCTCTCAGCCAGGTGAAGATACAGGCACCCAGCCAGAGGGAGCTACAGACTCTCAGCCAGGCGGAGCTGCGGGCTCTCAGCCAGGAGGAGCTACAGGCCCTCAGGTGAGCTCTTCTGTCATTTAGAGGAGGCAGGCTAATGGTTCAGGTTAAGGCTGTGTCACAAAACAGTAGTAGGGTCATGTTGGTCAGATTCAGGAGTTCCTCAAAGTGCTCTTACCACTGCTTGATATCCTGTACAATATCCAGTAGGATTTTAAATTCAGTTCTGGATTTTACAGGGAGCCAGTGCAGAGAAGCTAAAACAGGAGAAATATGATCTTGTTTCTTAGTTCCTGTTAGTACACGGGTTAGGGTTAGGGTTAGGGTGCATTCTGAATTAGCTGGAGAGTTTTTAAGGACTTACTAGAACTACCTGATAATAGAGAGTTACAGTAATCCAGCCTAGAGGTAACAAAAGCGTGGACCAATTTTTCTGCATCTTTTCGGGTCAGGATAGGCCTAATTTTCGCAATATTACGCAGATGAAAAAATGCAGTCCGTGAGGTTTGTTTTAAATGAGAATTAAAAGACAAATCTTGATCAAATATTACTCCGAGGTTTCTTACGGTAGTGCTAGAGGCCAGAGCAATGCCATCTAGAGAAACTATGTCATCAGATAAAGAGTCTCTGAGTTGTTTGGGGCCAAGAACAATAACTTCAGTTTTGTCTGAATTTAACATCAGGAAATTGGTGCTCATCCAGGTTTTTATGTCTTTAAGGCAATTATGGAGTTTAGTTAATTGATTACTTTCTTCTGGCTTCATCGATAAATACAACTGAGTATCATCCGCATAACAATGGAAATTTACAGAGTGATTTCTGATGACACACATGATCCACTTATGAGATCATCTTTAATGAACAGCCAGACTATGGAGCTACATTTGTTTCTTTATTATTCAATCAAACAGAGTAGGTTTTGCAATCAAAAAAAAAGATTTGAGAGCAAAAGTATCAATATTGCAATCAAAAAATGTTTTATTGCAAGTAAAAAATGATTAAAAAATGCAAACCCTAAAGATTTGTTTGCGAGTAATTTTTTTCCGTTTGCAAGTCAAAAAGTTTTGCGAGTAAAAAGTTACGGTCTCTATTGGCCAGTCTCAATTGGAATAACAGCTTGCAAAGCATTTTTTTTCTTCTTCTTCTCTCGGTTGGCCGGCAAACAATTTAAAGGTGCATACCGCCACCTACTGTACAAGAGTGTGCAACATCATGTCATTTAGCCTGTCTCTTAAATTCTACTCATCAGCCTAGTATGCTTGCAAAGCAACATGGGAGTTCTGTAGTTCACGGTTCAGTGTGGGAGCTGTGGCAAAAATCAATTCTGAAACCGAAGTTTTCGGGCTCCGGTTTCCAAAAAAAATTCGTCCACACGAGTGGTGTGATAAAAAGATATGATACACATGCCAAAGCAGTAGGTGGCGATGTAACTTCCAATGGAAAGGCCATTTCAACCAATGAGAAGTCAGAGTCAATACCGGAATAGGGCAGTGTGGAAAATAAAAACAACCCGATCCACAAAAATAGCGCGACCTAATTCAACAGCAGAGGCGCCTGAACAACCAACTACACTACCATGACAGCAGCGACAGGCCTGCCAACGGAGGTCCAACCCCGCCGGATCCAGAACCTCCATTGGCAGGCCTGTCACTGCTGTCGTGGTAGTGTAGTATAGGAAGCAAGCAACAGGAGCAGCCTCCTTCATTGGTCGTTAGGTCGAGCAGCTGGATATGCCATCCAAAGAGAGCAGATAGCACGCTCACAAATAAAGTTAGTGTGACATATAGGGTATTTATGTGTATCTGCCCACTCAATTGTGACATTGTTTTATGCATATGATACCGATTTTGTATCGTTACAGATACCATACAGATACCGCCCATTCAATTTAAAGCATAACTGATTTGAGTAAAGGCACGAGAGCAAATCTGGGATATAAACGGTTGGTTCTTCAGTTGGCAGTTACACCTAGAGTAAAGCTACTGAAAACCAGCAAAATCAACGGTTGTTTTCATTTATTCTTTCAGGTGGGTAAATGTCACCTTAGCACCTTCAGATTATATCAGTAGTGTACCCTTAATAGATAACTTGTTTATATGGTTTGTACTGTGCTTCGTGATATTGTTTGAGGGAACTGTAACGTAAGGTAACTGCGTACGAGTGGATGTATCCGTCACTAATGCTAGCGTAGTTCCTCAGGGATTAAAGCTGTTATTACTTTGATTTTGACAATCTAAGCTGTGACAACACATTAGCTAAGGTTGTAAGGACTTTAACTGTTGGTAGCTGTTGTTGATTTTGTTAAAATATGTTGAAGTTTTAAATGCACACGATGTGATGTTAAGATCCAGAGTGCTGGGGACTCAGCATGGCAGGGGCGTCCTTCTCCCTGAGCCGAGCTTGCGCCTGACCACATGCCAAGTTCAGGACTAGGTGTTACAATCCTTGCATACCTCGAGACACTGTTGTGAGACAGATGGTGACATTTTGGGGTTGGGTGGTTGAGGGAGCTAACGATTTCACCAGGGTCGTCAGGTGGGCACCCTCCTTCTTTGGTGTTTCGCTGATGAGGCCCATGACACCTCCAGAGGGCTCAGCAGCATCATCTGGCGTCCGAGGTGTGCCCCCCTCCACTTTAGCCCCTTCCACCTCTCGTTCCCCCAATGACAGCATGCTGTTATTTTGGAGCCCAGGTGTTGTCTCTCCTCCTGATCCAGAGCCACTGACTGACCCTTTCAGCTGCTCCGGACAGGGCTTTGATGGCTTGACGTTGTGCCTGGCCTCGGATTCCCATGTCCTTGAGGAGCCTTGTTGTTGACTGGCCGACGAAACCTCTGCCACCAACTTCAACTGGGAGAACTGTGGCTTTCCAACCCAGTTGTTCTGCATCAGCTGCCAGCTCAGCGTACTTAAGCCTCTTGCGCTCATAGGCCTCACCCATAGCATCCTCCCAGGGCACTGTGAACTCAATGATGTACACGCTTCGTATTGAAGGGGGCCAGAGCACAAGGTCAGGTCTGAGGTTGGTCGTAGCAATTTCTGTTGGGAAGCAGAGTCTCTGCTCAAGGTCAGTGAGGAGCCTCCAGTCTCTTGCGGCACCCAGCTGCCCGGCCTCTGATGTTGGTGTGCGGGTCCTGGGTAGCTTCTCACCTTCGCGGACAAACTGACTTGAGGGGGAACGGTGGGAGGACCGCGGAGGAAGGGCATTGACAATCCTCCGTCTGCTCTCCAGCGTAGCTGCCAGACACTTAAGCACCTGATTGTGCCGCCAGGTGTATCGGCCTTGTGTCAGGCTTGTCTTGCAGCCAGCCAAGATGTGCTTCAGGTTAGCTGGAGATGGACAGAGGGGGCATGTAGGGTCTTCCATACCATTGGCTAAGATTCTGAGGAGATGGTAGGACATCGTATGTGGCACGTATGATGAAGCTGGATCGAAATGCTTCCATGTCCCAGAACTCCTTCCAAGTGATCTTTTGCTTCTCAACGTCTTCCCAACGCACCCACTGTCCTTGCTTTCCTATGAGACAGCCCTTGCACACCTTGCAGCCTGCTCTTGCTGGCACACCTCCTCGACCACGGGACCTCACCACTAAGCTGGAGTTGCCTTGTACCAGGATGGTTGGCTTTCCCCGAGACCAAGGCCTCCTCTCCCTTTTTGCACATGGCCCACGATGTCCCGGTGCTTGAGGGCTGATTTGGCCTTATGTGTAGCTGCAGCTGGTGTCCACTTCCTCCCAGTTGCCAGGGTGGGAGCAGTTTTAGCTACACATGTGTCACGGGACTCTGTCAGCATCATCTCCATGGGTTTATGGGTTATTGTTTGTCGGACGATTGAGCTAAGCTAACTAACGCTAACGTCAGCTGTCACTTGTTGCCATAGCAACGGTAAACCTTCACATACGGGCTAAGTGCAGAGTGCAGAATCAAGCTTCATTGTAAATATAGTTAAGATACATTGGATTTAACACAGGATGTGGGATTTTAGTAGTTAGTAAACTTTTAGAAAAGAGCTATTTACCATCGCTCTGACATCAAACAATGGAGACAGTTAATAAAATACTGCGGTTGTCCTATCTACACGCAACCTCTGGCACCGGAGTTTTCCAAAAACTTCACCCTGGACTCCGGTTTCAAAGAAGCGCGGTTTCGGGACCCAAAAGTGCGGTTGCGTGTGGCCAAACAGCCAGATCGCATAGAATAATACACGGTTTCAAAAGTACACGGGTTGGTGTGGACTAGGCCTAATAATAGCAAGAATTTTTTATTTGAACTAGTGCATGTAGATTGCATTTGTTTAGTCAGGACAGAACTATTTGACGGCTTTACAGTCAGTACCGTCGATGCCCCGGGGTGTAGCAGTAATGCCAACAGTCAAGCAATTCCAGTGGGAGAGAGGGGATCGTGGGTGTAGCCCACTCTGTATGGAGCCACGTCAAACCCACCAATAGAAACTCTTCTCTCATCCATCAGCGTAGGCCCCGCCCACTAAGTGCAGTTGAACTTGCAAGCAAAACTGTAACTCACAAGCAAAGAGGACTGATTTATAAGCAAAATGATCACACGTTTTTACTTACAAACTTGATTTTTGATTGCAGTTCAAGAAATATGCTCTCAAAACAGTTTTATATGATTGCAACAAAAAGACACAAAAATACCTCAATACCAGAGCAGATGTAATTTTTAGAGCAGAGGTTTTTGTTAAGCAACAACATATACAAGGACTTCTTCAATTCACATCAATGAAAGGTAGCACCAGTAGGCTGAACAGTTTGATCACAGGGCTGTATGACAGCTATCACACTTTTTAATGGTAACATTTTAAATGATTTTCTTTTGATCGTGGCTGAAGCTAGAGTATTTTTAAATTGTTCTTGTATATAGACCTAATAACAATACAGATCATTCATCCATTTAATCAATCAATCATTCAAATGTAAATAGTAAAAATAAAACAACATTAAGCAACCATAACAATCATCTTTATGAAGAAGGTGTAGTATAAAGCAGTGCAAAACAGCATATGGCAATGAAGGTGAGTGAGTCTCTGTTCCTCGAAATTCTGACTAAGTAACTCAAACATAGTGTTCATTATGGCCGATCCATGACTAACACATAAGTTCAACAACAGAACACCACTCAGGTTCAGATCAAGCAAGCCTTTCCTCACAATTACCCCCTCCAGGTTCCTCCATAGTTGCCCACATGAGCATAGAAGTGGGCATCCTCTCCAGGACACACCCCAAAGACTCCAAGAAGGCAGAGTACTCCGAACTGCTATTTGGTGCTTATGTACAAACAACAGTCAGATAAATCCTCTCAGCAACTCACAGTTGCATAGGGGTGACCCTCATATTCCCGGGGAGAACTCCTACACAGCAGCGCTCAGCTGGATGTTCACGAGTATCCTCTCACCCACTCTGTGCCTTTCACCTTGGGACTCTGGAAAAGGCAAGGATCTACCTTATGTCCAGGAGTTTGTTTCCAGAACCAGTTCTTTGAGTAGAGGTGAACTCAACTATATCTATTTGGTACCGCTCCACCTCTGCACCAGCTCTGGTTCCTTCCCCACCAGAGAGGTGATGATGTTTTAAAACCTTAGAGCCAGTCTCTGATGCCAGGGATCAACACACAATGTTTCCTGACTTTGCCCGCCGCCCAGCTCACAATGCACGCAACCCTAGTGCCTATCTCTGTAAGTGGTGGGCCCAAAACAGTAAATCTGACTCCTCTTCTCATTTTACAGATGGTTACACGCAGCAAAGTGAAAGTGAAGGAGGAGAACGATGGTGATCCCATGGTGAGTACACTGTGACACGCAGCATGACAAAAAGTCTGCATTTTATTACATCAACAAGGAAACTCTTATTTTTCTCACTGGTTTCCTGCAGGGTGAACATTTACATCGCTTCACTGTGAAACTTAGTCCCACTGACCACAAGGAATACACTGTTGACTGTGATCAATCTCGCACAGTGCTGGAGGCGATAAAAACAATTGAAGACATAAAAGGTCCAGATGAAAACATTGTGATTCAGCTGGGCAAAGCAGATAAGAAATATACTGTTGCAACACATTTCCCTTGTACTTGTGTTAAGGATAAGGAGTCTCTGATCATATCATGTGAGTCACAAAAGGTTGAAGAGGCCCGAGAAAAAATGTATATATATTCAAGAGACAAATATTCTGTCTTCTACATTGAGACAGTGGGAGGGAAAAACACCAGACAGAAGAAGCTTTTTAGAAACAAAGCTTTGAAACAGTTCAAGTATCTGGTTGTCTATGGGGAGAAGGGGATGACTGTGGAAGAGGCTCTGATAAGGGACGGTCGCTTCATTGATGACCTCGGTGTCTTTGAGCTGTCTGACAGTAACACTTCACAAATCACTAAGTGCACACAAAAGGTTGACAACCTAGATGGAAAAGAATTCAAGGTGTGTCTTCCACGGCAAAAGAAAGCAAATAAAAAACAGCTAGAAAACTCTGGTGCATCAAATAATTCACCACAGAAGTGTGACACAAAGAGAGTCAGAGGTCTAGTACATCAGAGAGGAATCAGTGTCCAAACAGCAGTGGCAAAGGCAGACAGCAACAACACTGCAGAGATTTATAAAAAGCTGCGTCAGCAGTTTCCAGCTCTGAAAGAATGGATGGAGAAAAGATTCCCTGAAAATTCTTATCAGACAGCACTGAACTTAAAGAAGGAAAACTTTGGAAAGATCCAACATTCATTCAGTGAAGTTCACAGAGTCAGGAAGCTGCTAAAACTGGGCGACTCAGTCTGCAAAGTGGCTGTTCAAGATGGTCTTCAGGGAACAGGCTTTGTGTTGTTTGACAACTTCATCTTGACAAACGCTCACCTGTTCAAAGGCTGTGTTGAAGGACAAAAGCTGATGGAGGGTACAGAAGTGTCTGTTTTCTTTAACTATGAAGATCCTATGCCGTACACAAATTACAGCTACTTCCAGCTGGCCCACTCTTACATCTGCTACAGTGAGGGTGAGCTAGATTACGCCGTACTTGAGCTCAAGCCTGAGGGACAGGAGTTCAACCAAACAACACAAACAGAGGAAATAAAGGTGCCACCAGGGCTCCTGAGGATATTTGGTCCGATGCCTCCGAATGGTGAAGCCTGTCTGATTGGTCACCCAGCAGGAGGGGTGAAAAGAATGGATCCAACCTGTATCATTGAGAAAGAGAAGAGGGAGCAGGCTGTCAGAGATCACTTAAATCCATACAAAGACAGTCTTTTCATTGTCCACTCAATCAGTCACCTTGTCAAAGAGCAAAACATTGACAATATAATGATGGGTGGAAGTCGAGCTGAAAATATAGCAACCTACAACACTTTCATGTATCACGGCTCTTCTGGCTCCCCAGTGTTTGATGCTCACGGCCAAGTGTTTGGTTTGCACACCGCAGGATACACATATGGGTTTCCAAACCATGAAGAGAGTGTGATAGAGTTCGCCCAACCTCTGCTCACTATATTTAAACACTTTGTGACTAAGCTGAAGGAAAGTGGAAATGAGAAGCTGTTGAAGAGAGTTCAGGAAGAAACAAAGGGAAACCCATACCTAACAAGGGTTCTCAGTTCCATGGGCACTTGCACCGATGTCCCAGCAGACAGTGATGAGCCAATGCAGACTGAATAGGTAGTAGAATAGAAGAGAAAGCACTTCATTCGTCCCCAAAGGGAAATCCAGCACAGTTGTTATCACTACACATATGGCTGAGCAGGCTATTTTTATTTTTATATATATATATGTTGACCTTTTTATGATTACCTATTTGTGCCTCCTGTTCTGTTTCGGCGTTGTACTTGTACTACTGTAACCACTGCAACTATAATATGTCAATATCACAAGTAACTGTGTACTATAGTGAAGGTATTCTATGCAGGTGTTGGGATCAACATATATATAGCTTACACGGCGGCACCAAAATGTTAGGATTTAAATTCAGGCTTCACATTAGGTCTCAGCAAGGGACACCAAATATGTTGGGATTTAATTGGCTATCGGAAATAATTAATAATTATTATCAATAATTATGTTAAATAATGTGACTTAATTAACATTAAATCACCTCGTGGGGCACCATTCCCGTAAAGGGAAAAATGATAGCCAGTTAAAGATATCAGTCTCATAAAATACTTTAAACTATTAATTTAGAGTTTGATTAATAATTAAATTAATGACAACAACCAGAATTAACAGTAACACCTGAAGGATTTCGGAGTTCTTGACGCAGCAGAGGTTGACTATTCATTCACTCTTGTGCAACATTAAACAGACAGCAGGTATGATTCCAAAGAATTATATTTATTCACAAACTAGCAAAGCAAACCAAAACAGACAAATTCTAACTAACTATATACAAGCTTGGTGTGTGTGTGTGTGTGTGTGTGTGTGTGTGTGTGTGTGTGAGAGAGAGAGAGAGAGAGAGAGAAGAGAAAGACAAAGTTGTGTGTGGTGATCAAAGAGGCGTTTGGCCTACAAAACAAAATGGCTGACGACAGAGAACTACAAAATGGCTGAATCAAGGCTGGCTTCAGGGGAGGTGTTTGTCTGACCGTGTGGTCAGGACAAAGACAAAGGAAAAGAAGCGGGAACTTTGAGATGCCTGTTTGGTTGTAGCTCTGTTGAAAGCCTGTTTGTTAATGAGTCTGTGTCAATGTGACGTGTGTTGCAAACGGTCTGGATTAGTGCAGAGATTGTTTAGTTGTGTGCAAGAATCTGTTTGTGAACAGTATTAGCAAACTAAACACTTAGCTGTGGTGAAGCCAACTAATCAATGACCTGACTGCAATCTATCACAACAATAACTCAGTAAACAGCATCAAATCACATACAACAAGTCAAACAGTCTTGCTCAGCCTGTAAAGCTGTGATAAGCTATGCCCAGCTGTTACATTACTGATCCTTGAATGGATGGAAGAAAGAGTCACTTGGTGGTGTGCTGCTTTGTTAGCCGGCAGAAGAAGGCTGGGAAGATGGTTCCAGCTGCAGTCTTTGTTGGGTCCTTTGTTCCAAAGGTTCTGATCCGAGGAAGCTGGTCGCTCGGGGTCCTTGCAGAGTTAGACGCTGGGTGCTAACTCACTTAGTTCCTTGTTGCTGGAAAGCTAGTTGCAAAACCTTGTGTTTGCAACAGAGTCTGTGATCAGTTGCCCTCCCTTTAGTTGTTTGGGCTATGGAGCAGGGGTTTGGGCCTCTGCTGTTCCAGGCCCAGCCAGAAAGAGATGTGGGCTGTTACGCAGCTGTAGAGCAAGATCTGTTGGAAGGGAGCAGATCTTTGCAGGATGCCTGTGACATCACAGAGTCACATGTCACTGTAACAGTACTGTCTAATCAAGTTGTGAGACTTGAGTCTCACTGAGGTGTGAGGTGAGACCTCCTGTGGAGATGGGTGTCACCTAGCTCTCTTTGTTTGAAGACAAAGAGCATGCAGAGGAAAAAGCCTTTAAATGTCCCGTGATGATTTTACCAAATGATAAATCATCTGTGGTCCTGTGAATCCCAACACAGGACTGGTTTGTTAACGGTCACCAGCCAATCCGAGGCATTTTGCCATTTTGTCGGCAGTGTCCATGATTTTCGTAGCTTCCTCTTGGATGTGTGCTGCTTTCAGTCTGGCACCTGGTTGCTACCGAGGAACGTCCCGAACACAGTAAAATAAGAAAAGAATATAGGGCAGAGTCTCTGTGGGTCATACGTGATTGACAGGGATCACTTTTGTTTGAGTCTGTACATTATTTTTGAGAAAATCTCTGCATAGCAGGGATGGATTGGCCATCGGGAGTACTGGGAGAATTCCCGGTGGGCCACTCTAGTGTGGGCTGGTAGTACGCTTTTTCTTTTCTTTTTTTAAATTTATTTTGGTTTTTGACTGATCGGCCCACAGAGCAGAGAAATGATGGGCCCACTGGTTTGTCTCTCATCTGAACACTGGCCAATCATGGCCCACCTTTTTAGGTCCATTTATCCCATCATCATAGAGTGACGTTTCGGGCCACAGGTGCCCTTCTTCAGACACAGTTTTCTTGGTTTGTTTAGTTTAATTCTTTTAGTCCAGCACCTTCTTCACTTTATGGATGTGCGCGGCTGCTCTTTTTACAATCATGGCCCACCCCCATCCTACTAGTCCCTGCCCCCCCCAAATAACATCTTGCGTGAGAGAGGAGATAACGAGTGACGAAGAAAAGTGAGAAGGAAGCTACATGCACAAATGGAGCCGGAATGATCTACAAAACTCCCTACAACTCCTCTTATCACGTAACAAATTAAAAACCACAGTAATAGACATATAAAGATGAATGTAATATAATGTTTTTAAATGGGTCTCATGGTTTTAACTTGGGTATATATTATTTGTTTTATTGTATTTGTATTATTTTATGTACTTGTACTCAGGACTCACCTGATGTCCAGCCGATTGTGGTGGGCTGGTCTGGGCAAAAGTTCAGGGCTGATTTTATATCTCAGTCCAGCCCTGCTGCATGGTATACCTTTAACTGTAACCTCTGTTAGCCTTCTGTGTCTTTGAATGACAGTATGTTTTCTGTCGTTGGCACACAGTAATTCTGACCATTTGCTGTGAAGTTGTTGGTGAAGGTTTGTTGAAGCTCTTCTGGTTTGGGTTTTGTTTTGTTTTGACCTATGTCACTTGTTTTGCTCTCAGTGATCAAATCATGTCACAATTCACTGACTCCAATATTCATAGTAAATGACATATAAAATTAACCTGGAAATCCAGATGCCCCGCCCTTTGCAGTTTGAATTTGCACTGCACGGGAATCTGGCCCTTGCCTCGCGTCACCAGGCTCTTCACGTACAACGAAGAGCCTGGTTTCCATTCACTCTGAATTTTGTCTGGATTCTGGTTCCGGTCTAGAGAGCGGATCTGGAATTCACCAAAGTAAAAGTGTTCACCAAGGTAAAACTTTAAATTCTGGCGCATCATCGATTTCCGTCTCCTGTTTCTCCACGTTGGAAAGTTGAATTGGAAAAGAAAGAAGAGTGAAGACTGTCGCCACGATAGATGCATTTTAATCATTTAAACATGGACGTACAACAGTCTGCTTTAGAAGAGGTTCTTTAAGAAACTTGGTTGATAGAGCATGCTACATGGTGAGCATCACGCACTTTTCCTCTCTCTTCCGCCCCCACCGCCCCAAACTTTATCGAAAAAATGCATTTACAAACTACAGGTATAATGAACAAAACTAGGATCAAGTGCCTCTTAAATAAAACACACAACTGAAATAATAACTTGTAATACAATTAAATACAATAAAAGAAAAAGGTAAACTTAATGGCTTGGGGCTTTTCTTGTAAATTATATTCTTTAAATTAAAAAGTTTCACCGCATTTTTATTAACATGGTGCTTTTATTTTGACAGAAAGGCGCATCCATCGAATTCCGGATCCTGTCTCTCTCGCCCTGGTTCTGGTTGCTTACCAAAACGGCCACTAAACGGCCCCAGACTATGACGAGCAAAGCCTCGTGAATCTCATATCAGACCAATCAGATCAGTCTATCTGACAGAGGCGGGCTCTGGGTGGGCGTAACATGATGAAGACAGCGCTGCACCGTAGGAGTCGAAAAGTAAACAGCCAAGATGGCAGCTGCTGAAGGACCGCGTCCATTCAATTTATCTTTGGAAGAAACACTAAGCCAACTACACTTATCTTTTTCCTTGAGAGAGGAACAGAAGACTGCCCTAGAAGCCTTCGCTTCCAGTAAGAACGTTTTTGCCGTTTTGCCAACGGGGAACGGAAAAAGCATAATATATCAGTTAGCCCCACTGGTCGGCAAACCAGTGGGGCTTAGTGCAATTAATACGTCACCTTGTTTTTGCTCTGATTGGCCATCGTGCTATCCAATTGCGTGCGGCGGCATTTGAAATGCCTCAGTTAGGGCTGCCCCTTGGGTAGGAAGGGTGTATCGGTGAGGGCCAGACTCAAAATCTTTCTAGATTTGAGTCTGGATTTCCAGGCTAATAATGTAAATGATACATAAATAGGCTGTCATTTTATTTTATTCATTTTGTCTTTTTTTTTTAATCTTGTACTGAATTATATTATTTTACTATGTTAGTCTTGGTCTTTCCAATCACTGGGTCTCATTCATGAAAAGTGAGTAAATCTGTGTGTAGATTTGCACATAAAAGCCTACTCTACTAAAAACCTACTCCGGATTCAGGAACGCCGGGGGAAACTCAGATTTGATCGTAAACATGTGTGTATGATCATGAATGCCAATCCATCGTAAAGTGACAGCGCGCTCCCGGTAATCAGCAATTAGCATAGATCCCCGCCCATGATTAGCCAATTACCACCATATAAGGAGGTGTAGGTGCATCCAGTCGACCTGTCAGTCATGGCGCAAACAAAGAAAGAGAGAGAAAGAAAAAAGAATGTTTCTGAAGCGGAGATCGAAATAATTTTGGGTGAAATGGACTTAAGAAAAAACATTTTATTTTCTTCAGTTAGTAGTGGTGTGACAGGGACAGGCAAAGTGAAGGCCTGGAGGGAGGTAACAGATGCT